TGTGTGTGTGTGTGTGTGTGTGTGTTAGCCCTGGGTCTTGAACTCAGGGCCTGGGCACTGTCCCTGAGATTCTTTCTCTCAAGACTAGCGCTCTACCACTCGAGCCACAGCGCCACTTTCAGTTTTCTGGTGGTTCCTTGGAGACCAGCGTCTCACGGACTCTCCTGCCTGAGCTGGCTTTGAACTGTGATCCTCAGATCTCAGCCTCCTGAGGAGCTGGGATGACAGTTATACCAAATGTTGTTTTTAAGAAATAGGACAGAGACCATCTTTTGAACAATCACAGCGTAGCTACGTAGTTCTTAGTTTTTGAAGGCCTGAATTTTTACCATTCGATCGTACAGCAAGTCTTGCTGTGCGAAAAATACGTTCAGGTGAGTCTTCTGGAAAATTTTCTACCTTGTGATAAACAGTCAATAATCTACTTCATCAAACATTCTACGTATTATCGATACTCAGCACTCAGAATGAGACCAACAGTCCATTTGGCAGTGGCTAAGGGAGTTCTGTTGCTCACATTTGCTTGAGTTTTCTAAATAAAGTTATCTTCAAGTTGACAAATTTTTTTTTCTCCTGGCAATGAAATGTTGATGACTCAGTTACATGGCATAATTTTGCTTTAGTCAGATTTTTATGACCTATATTATATATACAAATATGTAGTTTCTTTATGTATTTATTATGATAGATAGCATATAAAATAGAACATATTATATATATTTAAAATATATATTATATAAAATATATTTCATATTATATAAAATATACTACATATTATATTTTAATATCTATGCTATATAAAATGTAAGATATAAATATATTATAGCTTGGTATATAAATATATTTAATACAATATGTTTATATGTAAACATAATATGCATTATATAATGAAATAAAGATCTATTCCTATGAATATATAATAAACATAATATATAATAGAGAAGAATAACATATTTGCAATATGAATCCAAATCATTTTGACTTAGCAATTCTGGCAAAACTGTTTGGATAAAGCAGAAAAAAAAGGAGACTTATCAGTCTATTTCCCTTTCATAGTGGAAGGGCCTTAATCATAAGTTTTGCTTCTAAAGCCGTTCCTCCCATTTTGCTTTTCACATTTGCCTCTGACAAAAACGATTGATAATGCGCTACCTTATTTAGGGCTAAAAGGTGTTCTCGATTTTATCATTATGACATATACCAAAAGGGTGTGTGTGTGTGTGTGGGGGGGGAATTCTACTCACCCTTTTGGAAACAATGGGAGACTGGTCCAGGCCAGTAAATGTCTACTGTCATGTTCGTGGACAGTCCCAAACAGTTTCACAGTGAGCATTGATTCCCTGGGAAGCGATTTTATTTCAAGAGGAAAAGTGATCCTAAATAAACCAAACCAAAACAGAACAAGATATCAAAGAACAAAGTACCACACCAATGGAGTTTCAGTATTAGTTCTATAAGGATGAGTTTATAATGCGTTGGGCCAAAGTTATTTATCTATCTGCGTGAAGTTATCTCCTTGAAATAGTTTCGGTAATTTGTCACTTTTATTGTTGTGAATGCGTGCATAATGGTGCATTTATTCATGTCATGCAGGGGATCATTTGTGTTTGTGTTCAGGCCATTAAGTGTGACACAACTGTAAATATTCTTGCCCATATTTTCTTAGCTTTGGTTGTGCAGGTCACGTGTGTCTGGGGTTTTGGCTCAAACGTTGGCTGGGTTGAATTTTTACTTAGAGACACTGGGAAAGTGTTCACGGCTCTGTGGCTCATGCCTGTAAGCCTAGCTACTTAAGAGGCTGACATCTTAAGGATTGCAGTTTGAAGAGATCCTAGGTGCTGGAACTCAGGGCCTGGGTGCCATTTCTGAGCCATGTTGTTCAAGGTTAGCCACAGTTCTACTTCTAGTTTTCTGGTGGTTCAGTGGAGATAAGAGTCTTATAGACTTTCCTGCCTGGGCTGGCTTTGAACTTTGATCCTCACATCTCAGCCTCCTGAGTAGCCAAATGGACTTTTAATCTCTTGAATTAACAATGATCTCTAAGTAGTAGGATATTTATCCTAGCATTAAACCAACTCAACAGGCAGCATTTATTATTATTTTTTAAACATAGCCTTTGCTTGAAACAAAGAAAAAAAGCTGACTTTTCTTTTTTAAGATAAATGATTTAGCCAAATGGAGATGACACTCACATTTCATTCCAGTTGACCAAGAAAAAGAATAATTTTCTAGCTGGAATAGTCCTGTAGTTTTGCACTTGGCATAGCTTCTTTCCAGCATACGTAAGCCAGCAGGAAAAAGAGAATGCATTATAGCTAAAGAGGAAGAGACACACACACACAGAGAGAGAAATTACATAAATTAAAAACCACCCTGATGCGATCAGCTTAGCATCTGAAAGGAAATAGCTTTGTCGGTGAGTCATCTGTTTTTTGGAGAGTCCAAAAAGCCCAATGAGGAAATGAAGTTGGCTTGCTGAAAAGTGTTTTCCAGATCTCTGGGACAAGCAATGTGGAGTTTTTGTGCCCAAGGCTGGGTGGCGCTCTACTACCTGAGCCACAGCGCCCCTTCTGGCTTTTGGGGTGGTTCATTGGAGATCAGAGTCTCAAAGACTTTCCTGTTTGGGTTTGGCTTTAAACCTCGATCCTCAGATCTCAGCCTCCTGAGTAGCTGGGATGACAGGCGTGGGTCACCGGTGCCCGGCTTGATTAATTGTTTTCATTGGCACATCTTAACTGCATAAAGTAATGTGTTCCATGGTGACATTTTCCCACTTTGGTGGGATTGTTACCCTGTTATTCCCTCCTCTCCCTCCCATCTTTTTGTTTTGTTTTGTGTTTGCTAAATAGTCCCCTTCTGACTTCTAATGGCTTTTATCATTTTTCTCAGACTCTCACAGATCACAGAAAACACATCCTAGGAGCCTAAGTGTAGATCACTTGCTCAACTTCAGAAAGACCAGAGTGAGTTCTTTCCTATTTTAAAATTCTTTCCATTTCTCCCTACATGCATTTCTTCCTTCTCTCTGTCTGTCTCTGTCTCAGCCTTCTGTCTCTCTGTCTCTGTCTCTCTTTGTTTCTGTCTCTATTTCTTTCTCTGTTTCTGTTTTTGTCCACCTCTGCTTTTCTGTTTCAGTCTCTCTCTACGTCTATCTCTTTCTGTGTCTTTCTGTCTGTTTCTCTATGTCTCTTATCTCTTTCTCTGTCTCTCTGCTTCTGTTTCTAGCTTTCTTTTATGTCTGTCTCTCTCTGTTTCTGCCTGTATCTGTTTCTCTGTCTCTTGCCTCTGTCTCTGTCTCTGTATCTCTGTTCCTTTCTCTCTCTTTCTGTCTCTCTTGTCTCTCTCTGTGTCTCTGATCTCTATCCATCTCTCTGTGTCTCTGTTCCTTTCTCTCTCTTTCTATCTCTGTCTCTTGTCTCTCTCCCCCACCCTCCATCGACATTAGTCAGACTTGGTTATAAGAAAACGAACAAACAACAACAACAACAAAAACCAATTTAGAATAGACACTAGATCTCCCGGCATTTTCTACTTCCATAAGGACATGTTGACAAGAACAACTACTTTACCCTTGGAAAATGGAAGAGGAGGGAGAGGAAATACCCTTTGGGAAGCAGGCATATTAGTAACCAATGATTTTTAAGAACAAGGGCAATCCTATGTCAACGATCTTCCAGAATTATACAAAAATCCAAGCCTTGGCAAAAAGAAGAACAATCTAGGCTCTAATTGGAAGCTATGGAAAAATAAAACCTCATAATTGAAATTATTCTTATTGATGTCTATGTATATTAGATGATAGTCATATTGTTAGAACGTATTATTAGAGTATCATTATATATTATTATATGTTATATATTATTATCATATCATATATTATTATCATACCGTAATGATATAATGCATTATTATTATTATTGTCATCAGTATTATTTGTGAGCAAGCCCCTCAAGGCCCACCTGTGTACCCACGGCTGCGGGAAGTTGTAAACGGTGCACACAGTGAAGCTAAGGTGGGAATGGAGTCCGGGGTCGATGGGAGGAGAACTTCTAGGTGCAGACAGGAGCTGAAAATCTGTATAAAAGCTATTGCAGTAGACATCCAATAGCTGGTGGATGGCCCCGGAAAGTTCCACTGTTCTTTTCTTGATCAGGCCTAAAGGAGGGAAAGAGAGATGGATCAGGACATTGATGAAGGGTCCCATCGACTGGAAGCCATCAAGGCCAGCATTCCCATTTCTCAGGCGACCGTTTAAACAGAATGTAATGAAAATGACCCCTACGCGAGACAGGAGCCAATCTCCCATCTGAACACAGCCTGGCTTCATCGTCAGCAGGCTGTGATCTCTCACAGCGAGAACAGAGTTTGGGGGCACACGTCGGAAGTTCGTTTCCTGTTATCATTATTATCCATGAGGCACACTGATCCTCTGTCACTTGAGAGCATTTTCCATGGGTTTATGCTTATTGTTAGCCAAGGAGGACACGATTCTACCTCGTCTGGGTGTATGTCAAACAGGGTGGAAGTCCTCAGAAGAGCTAACTTACAGTCTAACCAAATGGATTACCAGGAGGCTGGACCTTGAGGTATTAGGTGGAGAGGGGTGGAGGGGAAGAGGGTGGATGGGTGGAGAGAGGAAGGGAGGGAGGAGGCAGGCCTTGTATTTCATGTTCACGTGTGAACTTGGAGCCAGGTGAACTGAGGGAGGGGTGGGTGGGGAGAGACGGGGAGGAGAGGGGAAGGGGCGATGGGCATCAAGTTGCTTTAGGCATAGTAGCATGGTACGCGCAAACGCCTTTGTACAGCTCAAGATAACAACAACAGAAATTAAAATTTCAGGCACTTTGTGAATTCATGCCTACCTTTAATTACTGATTGACTTGAGGATGAGCCAGGGTGAACTGGGTTAACATTTTTGTCCCCTCTAATCAAGTTACAAAGGAAGAATTGGTGGGCTGGGCAGGTGGCTTCGTGGTAGAGCGCTCACCTTGCATGCACGAAGCCCTGGGTTTGATTCCTTAGTACCCACATACACAGAAAAAGCCAGAAATGGAGCTGTGGCTTATGTGGTAGAGTGTTAGCTTTGAGCAAAAGAAGCTCACGGACAGCGCCCAGGCCCTGAGTTCAAGCCCCCCAGGACTGGGAAAAGAAAAAAAAAAGAATTGGTTGATCTTTAACACTCATCACATACATTTTGAACATATATATATATATATATATATATATATACACACACACATATATATACATATTATACATAATCATATATACCAAATATTATAATATACTATATTATTATACACTACATATAATATATAACTATAGTATATATTTTTCATTCTTCTAAGTGTAATCTACAAGGATGATTTGTACCGAAATGTGTATATATGTCTAATATATATATATATATATATATATATATATATATATACACATATGTGTGTGTGTATATATATATATATATATATATCAATATAAAGGAAAAAATGGACTTACAGCTACAGGTAATGGGGGAGAAGTTGACAGGACATCTCACCATATCACTAGACATAATTTTTTGGGGGTCAGTCCTGGGGCTTGAACTCAGGGCCTGGGCACTGTCCCTGAGCTGCTTTTCACTCAAGGCTGGTGCTCTACCACTTGAGTCACAGCTCCACTTCCTGGTGGTTCCTTGGAGATAAGAGTCTCACAGATTTTCCTGCCCAGGCTGGCTTTGAACCTCCATCCTCAGATCTCAGCCTCCTGAGTAGCTGGGATGACAGGCGTGAGCCCCGGGTGCCCGGCTAGAAATGATTGTTCACAGATTTGCTGAGATAAGATTCTAGCATGTGCACAATCCATACCCTTGGCAGAGTTACTCATTGAAATACATGCAACATTCTTAAATATTGCTGTAGAAACTTAAGTTGCCTTCAGGCAACTTAAGAAGAAAACTGTAGGAGGAAGATTTTCTCTGTCCGGGGTCTGTACCATTCTAGCTTCTACATGGAGTTCCTACCCACGTCCTGTCCCTCTATCCTAATTAAACCAGCTCTATCCTAATTAAACCCTTTTTAAATTTTTAGTTTTGCTGCGTACAACATGCCTCATTATTCACTTAGCTCTGCATAAATGTGGACCAAATCTCTGATAGGCAAATTTTACTTATGTGCTTCATTCTTCAATGGCACCCCTTTTGTTGGAATGGCTTGGGGGGGATGGAGATATAGAGAAGCAGAAAACGCTCTAATTAAATGTCTCTGAGCAATCAACAGTAGCAATTAGCGAAGCGGAAGATGAAAGCGAAGTAAAAATAGCAGTGGCAAGAGCCCTCGACACTCACCAACCAATGGGGAATTTCCTCAGCAGAAGGAAAAATTCCTAGAAACATCTTCGTCTCCAATCTCCAAGTGGTCCCAGTGGTACCCAGAACCAGGAAGGCAGGATGCATATGCATACGTGTATGTATTTATGCACACATGCATAGATGCATAAATGTGCAGATACACACATGCACAAATAGGCATACATGCATATGCAGATGTTCATTTGCATATATGCATCTAAGATACATCATGAATTTGAATCAAGCTCTCTCTCCCTCTCTCTCTCTCTCTTTTATGCCAGTACTGGGGATCCAACTCAGGGCCTCTAGCTCCTGGCTCAGGATAGTGTTTTATTATTTGAGCTCTGTCTCCAGTCTGGCATTTTCCTGTTTCCTTGGAGATAAGAGTTTCTTGCATTTGTCTATTTTGGGCTCTGAACCTCCAGCCTCCGATCTTAAGTCTCTTCAGTGGTGTAGATTACAGGTGTAAGTCACCAGAGCTGTAGGAGATTATTGTATTTTTTTAATATTATTATTATTATAGCCACTGGTTCCTGGCTATTTTTTAAATATTTAAAAATATTTATTTCTAAATATTTGAATACAACCATGCATTGATTTATTTCTATTTATTTATTTTTTTACCTTTTCCTGACGTCTCCGAATCTGGCTGAACATTCTAAAAGAGGAGTTTATTAAAAAAAAAAAAAAAAAAGGAAAGAAACGTTACTCAGACCACAAGATAACACCATAACCAAATCAGTAATATCCAAAGCTAAATAAAACAAGCTTTCCCCAGCAAAGGAGGAAGTTGGGGATGCGTCCGTCAGGTATCAACATCAATGAATTTCTATTAGATTTGTGAATCCTTTCTCCCTTCGGGTCATCTGAGTGTCACAACAGCCGTTCACCTCCAGATCCGTGGGCAAGAGCCGTCACCTCTGGAAGATGACCGACATGTTCCCTGGCTTTACTAGAATTCAGCTCAGCCGGGACTACAGACATGAGTGACAGAGCCGGGCCTGCATCCAAGAGTGTCTCTCTGTGGGGCCTGGGGGTTCTCCCCCACACACAGAGCGGGGAAGGAGGGCTCATTCGTGAATCGAGAGCTGCTCCTTGAGTCCCTGGAATCTGAATGTGAAGGATAGAAAATGGTTTCCAGGGCTCAGAACAGCAGCCTAGAGTAGAAGAGTCTCTGCATGAATGACCCAGCTCTTCATCTGGCCCAAATCAGCACGTGATACATACCTGATAGATACCTTCCAGGGCTAACTAGGAAGAGCCTTGGAGAGTTGACCCCCACAAAAAATACAGCTGAAGGAAGGGAGGGTTTCTCAATTTTCAGTTTCCTGGCAGAACACCTCTAGGTTTTGTGGGGTTTTTTTTGGTTTTGTTTTGGTACCGGTCCTGGGTCTTGAACTCACGGCCTGGGCGCTGTCCCTGAGCTCTTTCACTCCAAGCTGGCGCTCTACTACTTGAGCCACAGCTCCACTTCTGGTTTTCTGGTGGTTCATGGGAGATCAGAGTCTCATGGACTTTCCGGCCCAGGCTGGCTTTGAACCGTGATCCTCAGATCTCAGCCTCCTGAGTCGCTGGGATGACAGGCGGGAGCCACTGGCGCCCGGTTGAATTTTAGCACTGTAACTGGGTAACAGAATGAATATTGGAAGATCACCTGCCTGGCAACTGGGTGAGGAATGAGTACAAATAAAACAGAATTAAAGAGTGGGATTCAAAAGAGTCTATCACAAAGCAATGATGGCAGGGGCCCGTTAGCCATGGTTTGGTGACTGCAGCTTTCCATATCTACCAACATCAAATGGAAAATTCCAGAAAGAACCGATACACAGAGCTGCTTCATTCTGTAGGTAATCCGGAGATTTTCACAGTCTCATCTTTCCCAACCCATTGCTTTGTTGTGAGTCACATAATTCCTTTGTCATCTGGTTTACCACAGAACGGGATTCTGTGGTAATTACATGCAACTATCCTCTGTTTTCTTTAATAATGGCCCCCAAATGTCAGAGAGCTGATACTGGTGCTTTTTATTGGGGTACACTGTTATAATTGTTCTGTTTTTATTAAACTTTATCATAGGTATGGTTGTGTAGCTGAAACTTGATATCTAAGCCGAGCGCTGGTGGCTCCCGCCTGTCAGCCTAACTACTCAGGAGGCTGAGATCTGAGGATCGTGGTTCGAAGCCAGCCCGGGCAGGAAAATCCGTGAGACTCTGATCTCCAATGAACCACCAGAAAATAGCAGAAGTGGAGCCGTGGCTCAACTGGTAGAGCGCCAGCCTGGAGTGAAAGAGCTTAGGGACAGCACCTAGGTCTTGAGTTCAAACCTCATGACAGACAAAACAAAACAAGAAACGTGTTATCTTGGGTCATATTCATACCTCCCAAAGATGAACGAGATTACTGTATTGTTATTAGCACTATTAATTATTATCACTTACGGTATCTTTTTGCCTTAATATCTTATCAAACCAACAAGAATATATTCTTTTAAGCTGATTCTTAAGATTTCTCTTAGGCAATAACCACTCCTTCTAGTCTTTTCTTTTCTTTACTTTTTGTTTTTTTAATGCTAGTACTGAGACTCAGGGTCCCGGTGTTATCCCTTAGCTTTTTGGTGATGGCTCATGTCAGACATTGGCATAATGATTGAGCTATGCTGTGCGCACACACACACACACACACACACACACACACACACACACACACACACACACACACACACAGAGCTAGCGCTCATCCCCCCAGTTAATACATTGAGCTCAGCTGTAACCTGACGGCGGCAGCTGGCAGTGTGAACACATTTCACCTCTGCTGTTCTCTGGACAGCAACGCCGACGAGCCCCAGGTTGTTGATTGCCTCTGTGATCTGTCTGGTCTCGATGCACCCCAGAACCCCACAGATGTCCCTCACTTCTTCGGTCAGGCCCTTCACACAGTGCTGTAGATGACAAACGCACACGTGGCCACTCATTAAGACGAAGACCGCGTTCAGTTACCTCCCAGCGACTTCTCTTTTCCACCGAGAGGGAACAGGATAGAAACATGGGGCTGAACCCCAATTTGCAGCGGTAGGACCAACGCCACACCAGTGTGCAAACCGAGCGACACATCTGTAACATCAGAATCTGCCGTTATGGATTATATTGATTTATTTAACCCGCTCAATGCGATCATCGTCTATTAGTAATGCATCATATTGATGAGAGGGAGGGAGAGGAGGAGGACAGAGAGGAGGAAGAATGGAAAGAAGGAAGGAGAAAGAGACAAAGATGGACTTACAGCACAGAAATGCTGTGAAGTGCTATCGTAGAGTGTAATACTGCTAACAACAACAACAATAATAATAACAGTAATCTGTTTTTTTCTTTGGGAGATATGAATACGACCCAATGGGTACTGAAACCTTCCGTGCCAATATAGATATCACTTTTTTTGTTTTGTTTTGTTGTTCATGAGTTTTGAACCCAGGGCGCTGGGCGCTGTCCCTGAGCTCTTTCATTCAAGGCTAGCGCTCTACCACGTGAGCCACAGCGCCACTTCCAGTTTTCTGGTGGTTTATTGGAGATCAGTCTCACAAACTTTCCTGCCCTGTCTGTCTTTGAACTATGATTCTCAGCTCTCAGCCTCCTGAGTATCTGGTGGCTCACCTCTGTCATCCCAGCTACTCAGGAGGCTGAGATCTGAGGATCAAGGTTCAATGCTAGCCAGGGCAGTGAAGTCCATGAGACTCTTATGTCTAAGGAACCAGCAGAAAGCTCCAAAAGCAGGAATTCATTGTATTCTAGAAAGTACTAGCTGTTGGTAGAGGTAAGAGGATGAGCAGAACCCTGGAAAAATAAAAATCTGGGTGGACAGATGGTGTCTACAAAGATGGCTTGCACCTAATGATAAAGGGGAAACTGAGGCTCCTTCTTATTCCGAGTCTTCCTATGAGGGAAAAGGAAAACGTGAACCTGAAAAACTAACCCCTACCTCTTCTTTCCTATTTGTCATTGCGGAGTATGATTTTTATATTATCAGGAAACTGTATTTCATGTGAAAAATCTTGCAGGTGCAAAATATTTGGATATAAATGCATATTTACAAACACACTTTTATATACAAATCTATGCATGGGATAAAGAATACGTTATACACGGGGCTGGGCAGGTGGCTCAGTGGTAGAGCGCTTGCCTTGCATGCCTGAGGCCCTGGGTTCGAGTCCTCAGCACCACATAGCAGAAAAAAAAGCCAGAAGTGGCGCTGTGGCTCAAGCGGTAGAGCGCTAGCCTTGAGCTGAAGAGCTGAGGGACAGCGCCCAGGCCCAGAGTTCAGGCCCATAACCGGACCCCCCCCCCCCAAAAAGGAAAAAGAGTACATTACACATGGATGCATACCTTATATAGATGTAGTACATCAGCTAACATCCTATCAGTCTGTACATTTTATTATTAATATATAGCTCATCTAGGCCACAATTACATTAATAAGTATATGTACCAACTATTATAATGATATATTATTAATATTAATGTGTAATATGTAATATACAATTTCATATTATATAATTATGCTATTATGTAATCAATCTATCCTCTATCATCTACCTACCTTTATCATCTTTCTTTATTATCCATCTATTTTTTTTGGGTCTGGTTGTGGGGCTTGAACTCTGGGCCTGGGCGCTGTCCCTCAGCTCTTCAGCTCAAGACTAGTGCTCTACCACTTGAGCCACAGCACCACTTCTGGCTTTCTTTCTTTTTTCTTATGTGGTGCTGAGGAATCGAACCCAGGGCCTCAGGCATGCAAGGCAAGCGCTCTACCACTGAGCCACCTTCCCAGCCCCTATCCATCTATTTTTATAATCTATCATCTGTCTATCTAGCTTCTCTTCCCTATCAATCTATCATCTAGCTCTATCATCTAGCTATAGTTATCATCTGTCTATCCTATATCTGTCTATCATCTATCTACCTGTTCATCTGTCTGTCTGTCTGCCTGCCTGCCTGCCTACCTGTCTGTCTGTTTATCTATCTTTCTGTCTGCCTATCTATCTATTATCTGTCTGTCTATTGTCTGTCTGCCTACTTACCTGTCTGTCTAGCTGTCTTTCTTTCTGCCTATGTATCTACCCATCCATCTAACTATCTGTCTGTCTGTCTTTTATCTGTCTATCCATCTATCTTCTATTTACCTATCTATCTACCTATTCATCTACCTATTCATCTATCTATCTATCTATCTGTCTGTCTGTCTGTCTACCCATCTATCAATTATCTATCTGACTGACTGTCTATCTGTCTATTACCTTGCAGAAGTTAGAAGTGTGGGCTACCTACTCCAGCTTTGCCATCAGAATATTTAGAGGGTGTTTTTTGCATTGTGCAGATGTCCCAATGAGACTAGCCTGAACTTTTCCTCGGTCTGACTCTGTGAGTTAAGAACACAAAGCAGCCCCTGACCACAGCTGAGCTCTTGCTGCCAGCTGCGGGATCGCCGGCTGGAAGGGGCGGTGTGTGGACAGCGTCTGCGCTAGGCTCACCTGCAAAGGGCTCTGGGATCCAGGGAAGACGGCGGGGGAGCTGTGGTCCTCTGCCTCCGCCTGGAAAACAACAGAACAAAAGCAGAGGAGGAGAGGGAACAGAAGAAATCCACGCAGGACTCTCAGCCAGCCATGTGCATGCTACAGACGCGCCACAAGTCACCATCCTTCAGACTGCATGAAGACAGCAGTGTGCATGCTACAGACATGCCACAATTCACCATCTTCCTCTGACTGCTTCTCCTCAGTCACGCAGAGGAGCGCTGACCACATTTCAGTAGCGAATGTGGAGACAGATTTGAGGGCCAAAATAGGATTTTAGAGCTGGGAGCTGGGGAGCTGGGAGCTCACCCCTGTCACCCCAGCTACCCAGGAGGCTGAGATCTGAAGATTGTATTTCAAAGCCAGCCCGGGCAGGAAAGTCCATGAGAGTCTGAGCTCCAGTGAATCACCAGAAAACTGGAAGTGGCGCTGTGGCTCAAGTGGTAGAGCACCAGCCTTGAGCAAAAGCAGCTCAGGGGCAGCACCCAGGCCCTGAGTTCAAGATCCATGATGGAAGGAAGGAAGGAAGGAAGAAAGGAAGGAAGGAAGGAAGGAAGGAAGGAAGGAAGGAAGGAAGGAAGGAAGGAAGGAAGGGACTGTTCTTTAGAGTTTGTTGTATTAATGAAGAGAGAGGGAAGAAAATCTTCCATGAGGTAGCTCTATAAATCAGCCATTTTACCCATCAGCCCAAATATCCAAGTGAACGAGAGCTCAAACCATGTAGAAATAATCATTCTAAGGGGGAAAAATACCTGGCAGCTTCCCTGTAATATCCAGCTAATATTCTTGATATGTCTTTGGTTTTCAGACCAGGGATAATCATCCAGGTTCAGGGAAGGGGGTCAAAACTCGAGTCTTCAAGCCATGATTGTTTCTGTACATCGATGGAAGGCAACTGGATGTATTTAACTTGTCGCACAAGTAGAAGGTGAAAACTTATATGATCCTTTTTTAGCATGTCCCACATGTTTTATATATATATATATATATGTGCTCATACATATTTATTCTTGATGTTTCTTAGTTTGGTTTTTTTCTTTCAATCTTGGTTGGAAGTCCATCACTTTGGCTCTCCTTCGCCCAGGAAACTGCACACACAGCAGCTCATTGACAAGTTAATTTCACCCCAAGGAGGACCACGGCTGGCTGGTGATCACGCACAGCGATTTCTCTGCTGTCGGGGCCAATGATGAAGCCATAGAAGAACCATTCCCCCTCCCCACCCCCACACTCCCAGTGGCTAACGGTTTCGTTCCCAAACGCATGCAGTGGAATTTTCTGGAGACTCAGAGAAGAGCAGGTGCAGATTCTCAAGAATGTGTGTGTGTGTGAGAGACAGAGAGAGGGAGAAAGTGGGAGACAGAGATAGAGAAGGTGGGAGAAATAGAGGCGGAAGGAGAGGGAGAAGAGATGGAGAGAGAAAACGGGAACAAGAGGAGAGAGAAAGAGAGAGAGGAAAGAGAGAGAGAAAGTAGGGAGGGAGGAGTCTATATAAATATTACAAAATATATTCTATCATAACATATATACCAAAGTATCAACACGTAAACACATATATAAAGATGACATTTTATACATAAATATATGAAGACACTTAACGTGTATATTTACAGATATCTGTTGATACAGGAGTCTAGAGTTCCATGAGCAGATAAAATGTATATCCTACACGCAAATAAAAATGTGTCAATAATAGATCTGCGTGAAATAGATGCAAATATATATATATATAGAAGTGAATGAAGTGCGTGTCTATTTTACCGTCTAGAGGAGCGGCATGTTGAAGGAAGATGGAGAGTTCTAGCGAAGCAGAACTTGCACAGAAGCACAGTCAAGACACAGGCGTGGAGAAATTAGCAACAGAGTGGCTTTTTTTTTTTTTTTTAATACTCTGGCCCTGAGGGTGGAGAGGCGGCGTGGGAAGCAGAGGCAAAGGCAAAGCCGTGTGCGGGAAAGCCAGGCGTTTTAATTAGGAGCTACTTAGCGCCCCCATGTCAGCAGGATGGCCGCAGCGACCAGGCTGATACCTGGGTGTGCAGCAGGCGATCCACCTGGACGTGGAATCTTCTGAGAGCCGTGCAGAGATGCTGTCTGAAAAGACAAGAGGATTGGTCAGAAGGAGCAGGGGTCTCGATACTGACCTTGAATACCCGGAGGGGTCGCAGCTGCGTTCACCCTTCTCCGTTTGTGCGATCCTAATCATTTTCCAGGGAGTCCCAGAAGGAATTTCAAGGAAGAGAGAGAGGAAGAGAGAGGGAGAGGGAGGGAGGAAGGGAGAGAGAGAGAGAGAGAGACAGAGAGAGGGAGAGTGTATGGACTTCAGTCCTACAGAGCTCAGCCACACACGCACAGCCCAAAGTTCACAAGGAGAAAAGCCCTGGCAAAAGGAGAGACCATTCCCACCAGGGAGAGACTGTTCCAGAAGGCGTGAGGAGTTCTTCAAATGCAGCCAGTGCAGCGAAGAGCCGCGGGGAGGAGAATGATCGCAGAGGGAAGCGTCCAGGAGAAAGCACTAGGCCGGGCCGGGCTGCGGCTCAGGGAAAGGGCTTGTGTGGCAGGTGCATCCTCCTGGGTGCCATCCCCAGGACCGGAAAAGGAAAAAGAAAGAGAAAGGAAAAGAAAAAGACAAGACACACACACTTATAACAGACATATAACTTATATGTCTTTTATTATATACAAACTATATAAAACTAGATATGAAATTAAACTGTCTATAAAACTGTATATAACTACATATAGGTATATAACTATAATATATAACTGTATATCGCATATAACTATATATAATAACTATATATACTATATAACTAAATGTAACTGTATAACTATATATAACATAATTCTATATAACTATATGTAACTATATATAAGTATATAACTCTATATAACTATATGTACCTGTATAACTATATATAAAATATAACTACATATAATAACTATATATAACTGTATAACTATATATAACATATAACTCTATATAACTATAATAACTATATGTAACTATATATAACTCTATAACTCGATATAACTATATGTAACTATATAACTATATATAAAAATATAACTATATATAATAACTATATATAACTATATAACTATATGTAAATGTATAACTATACATAACATATATAACTATATATAACTGTATAACTATATATAACATAACTATATATAGCTATCTATAATAGATAACTAACCATATATATTTATATTATATATAATTACTATATATTATATATAATTATCTATTATACCTATTATATATGTGTATATGTGTGTGTGTGTGTGTGTGTGTGTGTGTAAGTGCAGTGGCTTCTCTGGACCCCGGGGAAGTTGGGATTCTTGCAGCCGGTGCCCCACCGCTATGAGCTGGGCTTTGAAAATTCACTCCCAGAAGGCGGACTTGGAATAGAATGAAATGTAAAATGCCACACCTGGACACGGTCCCGCTGGGCGAATGTTCTAGAAGCTGGCTGGCGTGGAAACGGTGGTGGTCATCCTCGGGCTGTGGACGGAACGGGATGGTGAGCGCCCCAGAACAGGGTGTGGGTCCCTAGGACTGCGATCCCCCTGTTCTCCACAGGACTGCGATCCCCCTGTTCCCCACAGGACTGCGATCCCCCTGTTCCCCACAGGACTGCGATCCCCCTGTTCACCACAGGACTGCGATCCCCCTGTTCACCACAGGACTACGATCCCCCTGTTCACCACAGGACTGCGATCCCCCTGTTCACCACAGGACTGCGATCCCCCTGTTCACCACAGGACTGCGATCCCCCTGTTCACCACAGGACTGCGATCCCCCTGTTCCCCACAGGACTGTGATCCCCCTGTTCACCACAGGACTGTGATCCCCCTGTTCACCACAGGACGGCGATCCCCCTGTTCACCACAGGACTGCGATCCCCCTGTTCACCACAGGACGGCGATCCCCCTGTTCACCACAGGACTGCGATCCCCCTGTTCACCACAGGACGGCGATCCCCCTGTTCACCACAGGACTGCAATCCCCCTGTTCACTGCACTGTGGACAGTGATCCGCCTGTTCACTGTCTCATCCACCGCCCCAGACACATGAGAGTCCTTAGAGAAAGTGAGGACTGAGCCCAGGGCCACTGGCAAAGCTGCTTCTCCTCCTCCCTCCTTCCTCTTCTTCCTTCCTCCCTCCTCCTCCCCCTCCTTTGCACTTAGGCCAGTTCGGCACTAAGCCTTGGTACTTCTCCACTTGGGCCAGTGGGCACATGGGGGATTTCCCCATCCCCGGCCGCGTGTCCCATGGGAGGGCCCAGCCTCGTGTGTCCCCATGGGACAGCTGGCCTTTGGCGGAGGTCATACCGTGCTGAGTGACCAGGGTCGCACAGCTTACATCCCAGGAGCGATCAGCTCAGCGCTCATGTTCCTCTCAGTGTTTACCTGAAAGTAACAGTCCTGTAGGTCACCACCCCATCGTCTCTGTCTGTCTGTCTGTCTGTCTGCCTGTATGTCTGTCTTTCTGTCTCTGTGTCTGTCTCTCTGTCTCTGTCTATCTGTCTCTGTCTCTCTGTCTCTGTTTCTGTCTGTCTATCTGTCTCTGTCTCTCTGTCTGTCTCTGTCTCTCTTTGTCTCTGTCTCTGTGTCTCTGTCTCTCTGTCTCTGTTTCTGTCTCTCTGTCTCTGTCTCTCTGTCTGTCTGTCTCTGTTTCTGTCTCTCTCTGTCTCTCTGTCTCTGTCTGTCTCTGTCTCTCTTTGTCTCTGTGTCTGTATCTCTGTCTCTGTGTCTCTCTGTCTCTGTGTCTCTCACACACAATGTTGATCAATTACCTTAGAGCTCATGTCGCAAACCTTTGCAGGGCGCATGGAAATGTAGGCACATCTCCCGCTCACTGGAAGGCCCCCGTCTGAGCTCTGGGGCTTCTCCCCACCTCCAAACTCCCCTCCTCCCCTGGACCCCCATGATTACTACCCTGGGAATGAATGCAGCGTTCCTCCCCAGAATCATGTCTTCACCCCAACCCCACGTCTCCCACAGAATCGCCACGAGTGGGCGGAACAGACACGTGAAGTCCCGAGACACAGAACACAGGTGCAACCTCAGGCCTTTGTTTCTTTATATTCATTCATCTGCTTGCTTCGTTATCTGTCAGTCCTGGGGCTTGAACTTGAGACCCAGGCGCTGTCCCTGAGCTCTTTCACTCAAGGCTGGTGCTCTACCCCTTGAGCCAAAGCACCACTTCTGGGTTTTTTGGTGGTTCGTTGGAGATCAGAGTCTCACAGACTTTCCTGCCTGGACTGGCCTTGAACCGCGATCCTCTAGATCTCAGCCTCCTGAGTAGCTGGGATGACAGGCGTGAGCCACACCAGCGTTGGAATTCCATGGACAGGAGCCTGAAACCTTGGTGATTTGGGAATTACCAAATTGTGCGACGCACAAATCAGGCTAACATCCTTCCTCCTCCCCGCCGCATTCCGTCTGCCAGGAAATGCAATGATTCCAGCTTGTATTTATGGGGGTTTCTTTTTTCGGTCACAGTGAAAGCGATCCGAAGGATCTCACACATACCCACGCCGAAGGTATTCATTGCACACTTGATAATCTTGTTATTTATTTACTATTTCCTGCAGATTTCCACCCCCTCCCACCCCACCCCGGGGCCTAGACGCCATCAAGCATGGCAAAGGCAGAGACATCCATGCAAGTGATATTTCTAAACAACTCTCTCTTGGTCTCATTCTCATTTCCCTGTCATTGTATCGTCAACCCGTTTTCTTTTAAATGATGAAGCACCTTAGATTAGGTTAAAAACACAAACCATCTATCCCACACTAGAAGTCTGTTATCAGAGAGAGAGAACACATATAATATTATATATATATATATATATATATATATATAGTCACACACACATATATATAATATGTATATATATATATTCACACACACACACACACACACACACACATATATATTGCTTAAAGCAGATAACTGGAGGATATTGCAGATAAAAAAAACCAGAACTTCCAGAATATCAAAAGCTCACCCCATTCTGTGTAATTTAGGGCTCCAGGGTATCCTGGGGGGTCTCACACCAGGGAAATAAAATCTGCCCAGAACACAGATGCTTCACTAGGCAGCTTGACCTCCTGCGGTGTGACCATGTGAACGAAGACCTATGACCTATGACCAGGTCAGGTCTGTGGACGCAGCCCAGGGCCCCGTGGGTTTTCCCCTCGCGTGAACCTCTCGGTGGATTTGTTCCTGCAAAGCCCCCCGGCCTCCGTCAGGCCCGGGCCGTTGTGTTTCCTGATCATGCCACGGCTGTGGGGCTGGGCACGCACGGCGTGTTATTACCCAGCCTGGGCCGGGCAGAGGCACACGCGTGTGCATGCGCGGGCCTCGGGCCTCACCCAGCTCTGCTGGTCCTGAGCGACCAGGTTTGAGATCAGCGGGAATGCGCGCTCCTCTTGTGCTAGCTACAGCCGCCTTCTGATTCCCCCTCCTCCTCCCCCTCCCCTCCTCCTTTTATTCCTCCTTCTCCTCCTTCTTTCCTCCTCCTCCTCTTCTCTTCCTCCTCTTCTTTCTTTCCTCCTCTTCCTCTTCTCCTCCTCCTCCTCCTTTTCTTCCTTCTCCTTCTTTGCTCCTCCTCCTTCTCCTCTTCCTCTTCTCCTTCCTCTTCCTCCTTCTCCTCCTTTTCCTTCCTCCTCTCCTTCCTCCTCCTCTTCTTCCTCCCCCCCTCTCCTCCTTCCCCCTTCTCCTCTTCCTTCCTCCTCCTTCCCCCTCCTCCTCCTTTCTCTCCTCCTCCTCCTCCTTTTTCTTCTTCCTCCCCCTCCTCTGACAGCACTGTGCTTTGAATTCAGGGCCTTCATGCTCACTCAGCTTTCTTGCCCAGTTGGAGCTCTACCCCTTGAGTTATGCCTCCAGCCTGGTTTTTTGCTAGCCGGTTTGGCGACCACAGCCTAATGGATTTGTCTTCCGGTGATGGCTCTGAACCCCGATCCTCCTGATCTCAGCTTCCCGAGTCCCCACCGTGCCCGGCCTGGAGCCTGCCTTCCTTCTGCAGCCTTCCATGGTGGAGGAAAAGAGAGGGAGCAGGGGCCGATAAAGCTCTTCCTGCAAGGGCATGGACTTCATCTACAAGTCCTGGCCTGCCTGCTCTCATCTGAAGACAACTAAGCCCAGCGACCCTCCCAGACAAGCACCCAGACAAGCACCAGGTGCCACCGGTCAGGGACCAAGCCTTGGGCACGCGCATGCACACACACACACACACACACACACACACACACACACACGTTGGGCAAGGCAGTTAGAGCAAGCATCCCATCCATGTTCAGGACTCAGGTCTGAGTGTGCCCACTGAGCATTATTCATTCCAAACCCGCAGAGGACTGAGCATCATTCAGTCATTCCAAACTCACAGAGGACTGAGCATCATTCATTCCAAACCCTCAGAGGACTGAGCATCATTCATTCCAAACCTGCAGAGGACTGAGCATCATTCATTCATTCCAAACCTGCAGAGGACTGAGCATCATTCATTCATTCCAAACCTGCAGAGGGCTGAGCATCATTCATTCCAAACCCACAGAGGACTGAGCATCATTCATTCCAAGCCCACAGAGGACTGAGCATCATTCATTCCAAACCCGCAGAGGACTGAGAATCATTCATTCCAAACCCGCAGAGGCCTGAGCATCATTCATTCATTCCAAACTTGCAGAGGACTGAGCATCATTCATTCCAAACCCGCAGAGGATCTCGTGGAGACAGAAGTACTTCTCCCGAGGTGTTGTTCCCTGGAAACCAACCCGAAGGAAGTCCCACCTGTCGAGCGAACTTCCCCAGCGCGGCCCCACGTCTCTGCAGGTGAAGTTGAATCACCGATTTCTCTTTCTGAAACACTTGGTGGCTCCCGAGGCGGTGATCGCTGAAAAAGAACAAAAAGGTAAGAAATTAACACAGTCATACACTTCTTTTTTTGGTAAATGTTGGTTGTGGGGCTTGAACTCAGGGCCTGGGCGCTGTCCCTCAGCTCTTCAGCTCAAGGCTGGTGCTCTACCACTTGAGCCACAGCACCGCTTCTGGTTTTCTGGTGGTTCCTTGGAGATTAGAGTCTCACGGACTTTCCTATCCCGGGCTGGCCTTGAACCATGATCCTCAGATCTCAGCCTCCTGAGTAGCTGGGATGACAGGCGTGAGCCACTGGCGCCCGGCTTCCAACTTAAGTTATTTAAAACAACAGCAACGCTGCTGTGTTTTATTGATGCGTTTTGTTTCAAAGATCTCAGTTAACTACACATGAAGTTCCAGGAGAGGAAAATAACAAAGCTTCCTGTGAGAAACTCGGGGTTCTCACGGTGATAGTTGAGGGGAACAGTTGGGCCTACCTATCTTCAGAAACGCCAGACAGATGCAGCGTCGTTTGGTTGGTGTTTACCAAGTGCTCTGCCACTTGAGCCATGCCTCCCGTCCAGATTTTTGCCAGTTATGTCAGAGACATCTCCCAGACCTTTCTGTCCAGGTTGGCTTTAAACTGCCATCCTCTAGATCTTAGCTTCTTGGATGGCTAGGATGACAGGTGGGAGCCATAAGGCCCAGCTCATTAAAAAATATATCAGGTCTAAGACCTCAGCTGTGAATGGAGTTAAGTCTCTGTGAGACAAACAAAACTTCTGTGTTCTTCTTCTTACCGAGATCCCTGCACGTTCACGATGTATCCCCCCAATAAATATTTCAACCCCGCCGGGGTGGTGTGTGGCTCTGTGAATTCTTGGGCACACCTGTCTTGGCAAATGAGCACTCCTAAGTTCAGGCCTGGTACACCACGGTGCGTGTGGTGTTTAAAAATAGTTCCACGGAAAGAGGTTTACAGAAAGAGACTGATAACCTCAGGCCTGGAAAAAGGTGGGAAAAAAAAAGATAGGCAAATTCTTGCGCTTTGTTTTATGGGTTCTTCTATGCAATGTGCACCATAAATATTTATTCCGTCTCTGTTCACCAACTGATGGTGATGAGCTGGATTCTTTCATCATGAGAGTGAAGGCATTTTCTTGTGTTATGAGATTTGGTGGTTTAAAGATTCCAGTGGCCAGGCAAGTAATGGTCGCAGGGGAATATTGTGAAATATTAATACCTTAGACAGGAAAAGAACACTGTATTGCAGCTTACTGCTCTACACCTTTTAAGCGTGCTTCTTTTATTTTCAAAGAAAAAAAGAATTCAGCGATGATGCGGACTTTTAAAATGTGAATGGGTTATGCATCTTCACGCAAGTAGAACAAAATCTAAGTAGATCCGTCTTTGTGTTGTTAGCAGTCATTATTGGTATGGTGCGGGGGGGGGGGAGGGGGGCTTTCTGAGCAGTTAAGGGACAAGTGTGCATTTGTACAAGCACCTTTTTGGCACTTCCACTTTAAAAGTAGACAATATTATCTCCATCAGATCCTGAATGTCAGTACTAAGTTGGAATTTCCACCAAGAACACAGTCCTAGATATATATAAATTATAAATAACACATTTATATTATATAATATAATTATATTATATATAATTGTATGCAATATGTAATCTATAAAAATACATAAAATACATATAGATGTATATAAATGTATTACATAAAACATTTATTTTATATAAAATATTTATTATATATAAATATACAATATATGACATAATATTTATATATTATATCTTTATGTAATATATAATATATTATTATATATAAGATATAAGATATAATATTTATATATTATATATAAGATATGATATTTATATATTATATATTTATATATTATATATTAATATTTATACATTATGTCTTATATAATATATTTATATATTATAAATATTTATAGATCTACAAATATATATTTATATAAATTTATATACATACAATTATATATAAATTACATATGCATTTACATAGACATATATAACTATATTCATATAATATAGTATATATTTACATACTCTATAAATAGAATACACACATATTTATATTATACGTTTATATTTATATAGTTAAAGATCCCTGATAAAGCTCAATGAGAGATCGTTTCCAGAAGCCAGGGCTCCTCAAATTCGATCTCACTTTGCCTTCAGGGGAATCACGAAGGGAGAAAGCTGAACTTTATGTCTCAGAGAGCACCCCCACCCCCCAAAACACAAAACAGAACAGAACAGGAGCTGTGCAGGAGGGAGGTGTGGGGAGGCGCGCCCTCTAGGGGCTGAGCCGGGTACCAGCAGCTCTAATGGAACCCAGCCAGGCCTCCCAGCTTTCCCCTGCTGAATGCATCTCCTGCAGCCTGCCAAGGGTCCAGCCGGCCTCTCTCCCTCCACAGCGCCTCCTGCTGGGATCAAGGCCAGGCACAGCCCACTGCCCGCTTCCCAAAAGCACCTTCCATGGAATCCACGTGGCCAGAGGGCTTTCTTCATGGAGAAGATGCTGTCACACAAAACCCCCATGGGCCTTTTCTATTAAGGTAGGGATTCAAAGCCACACAGCCACCCGAAGAGGAAGGTGTTACAAGAGATGCTGGGGTGTGCAGGGTGCAGAAGTCTAGAAAGTTCCTTGGAGGGGTTGGCACACAGCGTTGGTTAACGGAGGCCTCCATGGCTGACAATTAGAAATAGGGATTTTTTTTTAAAAAAGAATTCATCTCCAGGTTTTACTATATTTCCCTCCTCCAACTCTGTAGAGGAGAAAATACTCTGCAAGGTTTCCACGACGCTGAACAATGAAGGATATCAAGGTGAAAAGAGCATTTTTTTTTCTTTTGCCAGTCCTGAGGCTTGAACTCGGGGCCTGGGTGCTGTCCCTGAGCTCTTTCACTCAAGGCTGGCGCTCTACCCCTTGAGCCACACAGCTCCACCTCTGGGTGTTTGCTGGTCCTTTGGAGATGGGAGTCTCACAAGCTTTTGTGCCCTGGGGCTGGCTTTGAACCATGATCCTCAGATCTCAGCCTCCTGAGTAGCTGGGACCACAGGCGTCAGCCACCAGTGCCAGGCTGGAGTTATTATTATCTTTTAAATAAACAAAAACCAAACACTTGCAGGCGTGAAGTCAATCAGATGTACTTTTTACAAAGTAGGAGTGATCACCTCTGTAAAAAGTCCTCCGAACCGCTTATTTGCAGAAGATGATCTTTGGGAAAGAGCTGGTCGTTTGGAAAGAAGTGTAGAACTTCGGCGATCAGGTCTTTGGCGAGATAATTCGCTAAAAAAGAAGAAGAAGAAGAAGAAGAAGAAAGTCAATGATGATACAGAATACAGAATGGAGGTTTGAGCAGAAAGCAACTCCATCCTGAAGTTTTGCGACTCTCTGGCACCACCCAGAGGAGATGCAGGGAAGTGCAGCTCCTTTATTTCCCAGGCTCCATTCAGAGCTTTTTCTCTCTTAATTTCCATCCACTCCTTGTGTAGAAAACAAATGAGACAGCCAGGAGACAGTCCCTTACTCCTGCCTGTAATCCCAGCTACTCAGGAAACTGAGGTCGGCGGATCGCAGTTCACTGCCAACACCCTGGACGGGGAGGAAAGATTCCAAGAGGCTTTAATCTCCAAGGAAGCATCCAAAACCACAACTGGAGGCGGTGGTTCAAATGGTAGAGCACCCAGCCTTGGGCAAAAAAAAAAAAAAAACCCACAACAACTCAGGGACAGTGTCTAGGCCCTGAGTTCAAACCCCAGGATCAGCCCCCAAACAATACAAACAAACAAACAACAAAATAACCAGGGGCTGGAAGGTGGCTCAGTGGTAGAGTGCTTGCCTAGCACCCATGAGGCCCCGGGTTCCAATCCTCAGCACCACATAAAGAAAACAAACAACAACGACCACAAAATAACCGAACCAGGCAAGGTGTGGTCTCCTCTTCTCAATTCGTGCTTTGTCTAAAAGATAGGCTCCTGCCTGAATGAAGAGAATTCCCACTGACCAAGCCAAGACCCTTGGATCTCAGCCTCCTGAGTAGCTGGGATTACAGGCGTGAGCCACTGCGCCCGGCAGAGAAAGAGAGAAAGAGAAAGAATCCTTGAAGGCCTGCTCTCTCCCCTCCACACTTCCAATCCAACCCAGGGTTCTCAAGTCTTTGAGTCTTATTTCCCTCTGGGGGCAACATAGCATCGCAGTTCTTCTAGATGTTTCTGGGTGATTTCCAGGCTCAGAGCAGGTTCATGGCTGACTGCTTCTACCTGGCGGGGTGAGATGCATCACCCGAGGCGGGTCATCTGTGGAGATGTGCACGCTGAACCAGACGTTGGAGAAGAGCTGGCGTGGAAAAGGGGTCGTAGGGCTCCAGATGGTTCCCGAATTTGAGTGGATGTCCTCTGCCCGATACAGCTCTCTTATTCTGAGAAGGAAACATGGAAGAAGGGCTGAAGATGAGACCTAATTCATCCCTTAAAAAGAGAACATAAAAAGGAAGAGCACCCAGAGTAGAGTTGGGAGAAATTCCTGCGCTGTCGAGCTGTACAAGAGAATAAACAAACGAGAAAGAAGACAGGACTCATAAAACAGTGCTCCTAACTCAGGGCCGGATTCGGTAAGATCACAACGATGCCAAGAACTGGCATAGAAAAACCGTCTCTCGGCCTTCCCAGGATCCCTCCTATGGAAAAAATGAAAATGAAGACTATATTTTTCCCAGCCAGGCGCTGGTAGCTCACGCCCTGCTGTCCTAGCTACGCCGGTGAGCTGAGATCTAGAGGATCGTGGTTCGGAGCCAGCCTGGAGCCCGGACTGGTTTTCGAAGCCTGTGAGTCTCCATCTTCGAGTCACCAGCAAGAAGTCACGCTGGAGGCGTGGTTCAAGTGGTAGGAGCACCCGCCTCACGGGAGTGACACCCCCGAGTTGAAGTTTATTTCCATAAATAGAAGAAGACACGAGGCTCGGTGCTGGGCACAATTCCTCGCTTAATTGATTTTGCTCTTGGCATCTCAAATTCCTCCCGAGATGTCGCCCGTGTCCCATTTCCCCAAGCTGCAAGTGACTATTTTTGTTGCTGGTTGTGGGGCTTGAACTCAGGGCCTGGGCGCTGTCCCTCAGCTCTTCAGCTCCAGGCTGGCGCTCTACCGCTTGAGTCACAGCACCACTTCTGGTTTTCTGGTGGTTCATGGGAGATCAGAATCTCACAGACTTTCCTGCCCGGGCTGGCCTTGAACCGTGATCCTCAGATCTCAGCCTCCTGAGTAGCTGGGATTAAGGCTTCCTTAATCCCCTCCCTCTCTTCTTCCCCTCTTCATTCTCCCCTCCCCCCCACTGCTTTCTGAGTACCTGTTTGCTGGTGTTTATGTTGTTGACATATGAATAATCCTTCATGCCTGGAATAATTAATAGGCATCAGGATAACTTTAAGTCAATGATTAGGGCCTTTAACAACGAGATCAGCGCTCATTTAGGAGGGACACCAGAGTCAAAAATGAGTAAAAGTTGAAAGGGACTAGCATGGAAGCCTCAGTAGATGCAGGTGGTATGGTGTGGATGGCGATGCTTAGAGTCGGCCTTTGAATGATACAGCGACCTTTGCATCCTGAGGCTCGGTTTTAGATGAGCAAAAGCAAAAGAAAAAAAATCACTGATTTTTTTTGGGGGGGGGATAATATCTTGTAGTCACCAAATTTGTTTTGCAAAGAGCAAACAGAAATGCGTTTAGCTACAGGCTAGCAGATTCTCCTATGCGAAAATAAAAGAAAGGAAAAGAAAAGAATGTCTTCGATAGAAGGGTGGCCCTATGTGAACTTAGGTCAGCTGGAAGGGTCCGGCACACATGTCATTAATCGAGTAACGAATCCAGCACAAACCAACCCGTGGAGCACCTGCAGGAGCAGCTCTGGAATCGTAAAGCATTCAACTTCAGTTTTCAAAAGAGAAAAACATCTATTGGATGATTTAAAAAAAAACACCTCAGAAATGGCAACAGATACTGATTAATGCATGCGTTCATCAAAAGTGCTTCCTTCCTCTTCCTCCTCTCTTCCTCCTCTCCTCCTCCTTCTTCTCCTCTTCCTCCTGTCCTCCTCCTCTTCTTCCTCCTCTTCTCCTCCTTCTCCTCTCCTCCTCCTCTTCCTCTTCCTCCTCCTCTCTTCCTCCCCCTTTTCTTCCTTGACTCCTCCTCTTCCTCCTCCTCCTCCTTTTCTTCTCCTCTCCTCCTTCTCCTTCTTCTCTTCTCCTTTCTTCCTCCTTTTCTCCTCTCCTCCTCCTCTTCCTCCTCCTTCTCCTCTTCTCTTCCTTCTTCTCTCCTCCTCCTCTTCCTCATCTCCTCCTCTTCCTCTTCCTCCTCTTCCTCCTCCTCCTCTCCTTCCTCCTCCTCCCTTCCTCTTCTTCCCCCTCCTTTTCCTCCTTCTTTTCCTCCTCCTCCCCCCCTCCTCCTCTCCTCTTCCTCCTCCTCCTTTTCTTCTCCTCTCCTCCTCCTCTTCTTCCTCTCCTCCTCTTCCTCCTCCTTCTCCTCTTCTTCTCCTTCTCCTTTCCTCCTCCTCTTCCTCATCTCCTCCTCTTCCTCTTCCTCCTCTTCTTCCTCCTCCTCTCTTGCTCCTCTTGCTCCTCTTCCTCCCCTTTTTCTTCCTTGACTCCTCCTCTTCCTCCTCCTCCTCTCCTTCCTTCTCTTCCCTTCCTCTTCTTCCCCCTCCTTTTCCTCCTTCTTTTTCTCCTCCTCCTCTTCCTCATCTCCTCCTCTTCCTCCTCCTCCTCCTCTTTTTCCTCCTCCTCCCCTCTTCCTCCTCCTCCCCTCCTCTTCCCCTCCTCCTCCTCTCCTCTTCCTCCTCCTCTTCCTCTCCTCTTCTCCTTCCTCCTCCTCCTCTCCTCTTCCTCCTCCTCCTCCTCTTCTTCTCCTCCTCCTCCTCCTCGGCTCTATTCACAGTGTACAGATATTTGGCATTACTCATGCAGCAGTGATAAGCCGCGTAGTATAACGCAGGTGCCGCGATCCAGGCCTAGCAACTTCAGCGCTCAGGGTAGAATGGTACTTACTTCTCCACGTGGTCTCGGAAGGAAGTCCGGCTCGCTGGGCCGACTCGCTGGACCACGAGGATTTCCAAGGAGCAATCGCTCGGCTGAAACAAATACAAAACCACTGCAAAGTCAGGAAGCCAGCGCGGGTGGGCGTGGAGAGGAGTTAAACGCCAGCATCCTCCACCGGTCTCCAAGGTGCCTTCCGCTTGTTATCATATTCACATTTTGTTAAAAATCAACGTGATGCCTACATAGAAAGAATGCTTGCGTATAAAAAAATGAGCAAATCCCCTCAATAGATGAATGGATCAAGAAAATGTGGTATATATACACAATGGAATTCTATGCCTCCATCAGAAAGAATGACATTGCCCCATTTGTTAGGAAATGGAAAAACTTGGAAAAAATTATATTAAGTGAAGTAAGCCAGGCCCAAAGAAACATAGGTCCCATGGTTTCCCTTATTTGCAATATCTAGTATAGGTATGAGTCAAGCGGAAAAAGTCAGATAATGTGATGTTAGGAAAACGAACCCTCAAATATGTATTTTAATGTTTTTGTTTCTTTCATGCATGTGTTTCTAACGCATTTATAAGATTATTTCTTGGTTGCTTTGTATGTCCCTCCCCCACAGTGTAACCCCCGCTTTCACTATATTTGATGTCAGTATAACATGTGGAGGAGATGGGGACAAACAAGTCGTTTAAGGATTCAGGTGGACCTGTTGTAACAATGAGAAGTACAAAATGTCATGTCAAAACCAGCTTTACAATGTCGGTGGGGGGGGGGAGGGGGGGTATGATTGGGTGGGGGGGAGGGGGGAGGCTGGGAAGGGAGGTGAAGGGTAAACAAAGGAGGAGGCTGCAATGCTTGGTAAGAAATGTATGCATTATCCTGCCCATGTAATTGTAACCCCTCTGTACAGTATGTTCTCAAATAAAATAAAATTAAATTAAAAAAAAAATGAGCAAGTGCTTATCATCTACAAGTGAACACACGGGATGGTACAATCAAAACATACCCCGGACACGATGACCACAGGACTCTAGACATCCACACACAGGGAGACCCCCCAAAATGCAACCCCCCCCAGATTTATGTGAAATCCTACTGCGGCCTTACCCATGCTCCAAAGAAAATGGAGAACGCTTTTACATCCCTTTAGAAGGTTCTCGTTTTACTCAATCACCACCAATCAATATGGGACCGTGCCCAGGCCCTGAATTCAAGACCCATGCTGACCAGTACCACCCACAAAACAAAGCAAAACAACCCCCTAGATATTCTTAAGACGTATTGGTCTTTGACTCAGGTCATTTCAGGCATTGAACAATCTGTATATCAGGTAGTTTTAGCCAAATGCTATTCCTAAACTCAGGCAATCTTATCTTTGCTTCTTAGTATAAAATCATGCCCAGCATGTTACAATATCACTGAATCTGACATATAGTTATTTTTGGCTGTCTTTGTAATTTGAACGTGCAATGACAGTATTATTACTATTATTATTGTTACTATTATTATTATTATTTTGCCCTTGGCTGCAGGACAGAGCAGAGACATTTCCAAATACTGTACAGGAAACGCTTGTGATGCTTCAAATGGTTGGAAAGTCACTAATGAAAGATCAGGATGCAGTGCGTAGTAATTACTTAATTTCCTACTCTTGGATTAATCTCAGTGGAAGTTTCCTGCCAATAATATAATTTAAGAGGCTCTGGTGAGAGCAAAATCTTCCCTCTTGATGATGATAATAAGATTTTGGATCATTACAGCATTACTCAAAATAGACATGCAATGAATATGGGTATTCGTGGTTGCGTATAAAACAGTAAGAGTAGGAAATACCACCAGCTCAATCTCCAGCTATAGTTTACACAATAAAATGTGTTTTAGAACATTTTATTTAGCTTTAAGAAAATCAGGACTTCAAGAACGATCTATTCAGCCGGACACGGGTGGCTCAAAACCTGTCATTCCAGCTACTCAGGAGACTGAGATCTAGAGGATCGTGGTTCGAGACCAGCCTGGGCAGGAAAGTCCATGAGACTCTTGTCTGCAATGAACCACCAGAAAACCTCAAATGGAGCTGTGGCTCAAGTGGTAGAGTGCCAGCCTTGAGCAAAAGAGCTCAGGGACAGCGCCCAGGCCCAGAGTTCAAGCCCCAGGACCCACAAAAGTAAAAAATTTTTTAAAAAGGTATATTCAAAAAATACTTGTTGTTTTCAGAAAAAATTGTCATGGAAAATGAACTGTTTCCCCTCAATTATCCCAAGAACTGGTATAGAGGACTCTCAAGAGACTTCACCAGGGATTTCTCATTTGCAAAAACTTATTGTAGAAAGCAGACCTATTTTCCCCACACAACAGAAGTCGATTTCTGAAAGAATATCTAGCTATTACCATTACCAGTTGACCTAACACACGATCAAATGATTAACCCTAATGCATCACGCACCTTCCAGATTCGTGCTTTTTAGATAACCCTATTCAAAGGGGAACATACATACCTCTGTGTCTTCCATCCGCGAACTTCCCCTGGGTAGAAAAGAACCTTTAGAGAACATTCCAGAAGGTTCTAGCACATTCCCGTGTCCACTTCTTTCCATCCCTCGGCTTGGTGGGAAGTCGGTGGGGAAGGCTGGGTCTTCCACAGGAAGGCCACGTTCAAATCCAATATGGTAGCCCTGCCTTTCTCTTGGACTCCTTCTCTCTGAAGGAGTGGAGGGTGAATCTGGAACGTGGAATCTGGACCAGTCAGCGCCAGGATGGCTCCCCGTGAGAGAATTTCCCCAAGCATTTCTTCCTTCATTCACAGTGTCAGGCCTTGGTAGCACAGAGGGGCTCAGTCCAACCGGGGAGACCACCCCACCCCATTTCCAGGGGAGTTCAGGGGGCTGAGAAGCCATTGCGTTCAGGTGGGTGTCACGCAGTGAGTGGCATTGTGTGGCTTGGGACCCCCAAAAGGTGAGTTCCTCAGACTGTCCCTGAGAGAGGGGGAAGGTGCTACGCATCTCAGCTACCAGGTGATCAAAACCCAGGCTGACTTCCCTGGGAACGCTGGGGTGATCTGCCGAGGGAAGGCTCTGTGGGCTTTCCCCCAGGTCCTGGGTACCTCCATCTGGGTGCCCATAGCAAGCCATGCTTGTGTATTTGATGGATCTTGATGGGTCTCAACCCTGGCACCAAACACCTTCCAGCTGCTGGAACTTTTCCTGGGAGGAGGAAAACCAAAATGCAGGAAAAGCAACCACAATGACACCACCACCACCACCACCACCACCACCACCACTTTAACAACCAAGGAGCTTGCAAGAAAGAAGTAGGCAACGTGAAGGATAAAAATGGTGAGTAGAAGAATCGTTTGGCTGCTAGGGACAAAAATCTCACACCACTAGAAATCCAGGAGACCAGTAGCTATGCCTGAATTCATTTTTGGTACCAGTTGTGGGGTTTGAACTCAGGGCCTGGGCGCTGTCCCTGAGTTCTTTCACTCAAGGCTGGCGCTGTACCACTTGAGCCACAGCGCCACTTCTGATTTTCTGGTGGTTCATCGGAGATGAGAGTCTCACATGGACTTTCCTGCCCGGGCTGGCTTTGAACCAGGATCCTTTAGATCTCAGCCTCCTGAGTCACTGGGATGACAGGCGTGAGCCACCGGTGCCTGGCTATGTCTGTTTTTTTAGTGAAACCATCTTTTCTTGATTAGCAATCCCACAGTTAGACAGTCTGAACTCTTTCCTCCTCTCTAGTGTCAATCATCGACCCGTCTCCACACTTTCTAAATTGAAAATTATTTTCTCCACTTCCCTAAGACCACTTCCATTAAATTCGTCACTCAGCTTCACACCATTAAATTGAAAAGGTATTTTTCTCTCTTCTTATCTTGTCTCTCGACAGTATTTGATACCTGCCACCACTCCCCTGCTTTTACTTTAAGACTTCTTTCTTTCTTAATTCTCCGTGGACTCCACACTCTGAATTTCTCCTTGGTTCATTTCTTTTTACCAACTTCCATGCTTTCTACATGTAGGCATATGTTTGGATGTATTCTATATTTCTCACAGCAATCTGTTAGATCTGTATTTTTACAACTGCATAAACGAACCTAAGTCCCCAAGAGTTGAATTAAGAGCCAGTGCAGATGCTCACGCCTGCCATCCCAGCTACTCAGGAGGCTGAGATCTGAGGATCACGGTTCAAAGCCAGCCTGGGAAGGAAAGTCCTGGAGACTCTCATCGCCCATGAACCACCAGAAAGCTAGAAGTGGAGCTGTGGCTCAAGTGGTAGAGAGCCAGCCTTGAGCAAAAAAGCCAAGAGACAGCACCCAGGCCCTGAGTTCAAACCCTAGGACCAGCACACACACACACACACACACACACACACACACACACACACACACACATTTGAGTCAACTTCCTTTGGGATTTCAGAGTTTACCCAGATTTCTTTTCAACTAGGATTAACAGTAGGCCCAAGATGGAGTCCATCTAACACTAAAATGGTATTGAAAATGTGCCAGAATTTAGGCCTGGAACCCAGCACGGATTCACTGTGGACTGTCTTCACTTCAAAGGGTTAAAAGCTTTAATACTTCCATTAATAATAATAATAATATTTCCAGAGAGTTCTCACAGCAAGCTCAAAATAGATCAGGATCCTGTCGGACGATAAAAAAAAAAAATCTCATTATCATGAGATAAAAGGGAATCAGCAATATTTTTTATCCATATTGAAAATGTAATAAAAGACAAGTGAACATCTATACAATGATTCTTTGAGGCGTGTGTGTGTGTGTGTGTGTGTGTGTGTGTGTGTTTCTTCCTTCAGTATTAGACTGGGTGATTTTAAGGGAAATTCTCATCATTGGAAACCTGCCTGGCTCATGGTTTCTAAGACCACAGTCCAAAGTTGGCTGGAGTAGGAGTGTGTGTGGCAGAGAACTTCCCAGTGCTGTATTTCCCTCCTAGGCCTTGCTTTCCACAGTTCAACTTCCTTGTCTGTTCCAAGTTTTTGAGTCCATCCCTGGATTGGTCCATGGGGTAAGTGACAGCTGTCAGGAACCAATCACTTCCTCAGACATGAAGAAACAGGAACCGGGCGATGGAAGACACCCATCCTTCATAACCCACCATGGGGGAGGGCGGTATTTCCTCTCTGGATCATAACACCTGATTAAGTATTTGAATTAAAAATAACATGACTAGCCAGGTGCTGGGGGCTCATGCCTATAATCCTGGCTGCTGAGGAGGCTGAGATCTGAGGAGGGTGGTTTGAAGCCAGCCCAGGCAGGAAAGTCTGTGAGACTCTTATGTCTAATAAATTACAAAACAAAACTGGAGCTGGGCACAGGTGGTTCACACCTGTCATCCCAGCTGCTCAGGAGGCTGAGATCTGAGGATCGTAGTTCGAAGCTAGCCCAGGCAGGAAAGTCTGTGAGACTCTGATCTCCAAGGAACCACCAGAAAACAGGAAGTGGCGCTGTGGCTCAAGTGGTAGAGCACCAGCCTTGAGCTGAAGAGCTCAGGGACAGCGCCCAGGCCCAGAGTTCAAGCCCCAGGACTGACCAAAAAAAGGAGCTGGAAGTGGCACTGTGGCTCAAGTGGTAGAGTGCTGCTAGCCTTGAGCCAAAGAAGCTCAGGGACAGCGTCCAGGCCCTGAGTCCAAAGACTCGCATCCAACAACCACAACAAGAACAAAAAGAAATGACTGGAAATCACTACAATTATTAACACACTTCAAATGCAAGGTGGACAACTATCTTGTAACCTACGTGATGATTATTTTAGAGGCGATGGATGTACAAGGAATGTATCTTCCCAAAGCATTGCTTACGAAAACTGACCAGGTACTTGGTTTATATTCGTATCATTCAAACTCAATACCTAGAACATTCTCACTAGTCTGATGTAATTCCCCACCCTCCCCCCAAAAAAAACACCAAAAACAAAACAGCCAAACACAACAAGAAAGATGACAATTTCCCAATAACTCACATAACCTGAAACTTCAAAATCCTATTGCAGTAATAATGATTTTTACCAAAAAAAATCAAAGTAAGACTTGAAAATGAAGTATTTGAGGAAAAAGTCACTTCCGTAAGTTCAAAGATATACAGGATCCTCACTCATGCCGTATTTAAGGATAATTCGGCCAACACAACAAACGTTAGGGGGAAAATGTTAACAAGAAGTTACCAGTCTTGTTGGTAACGAGCACAGAGAACCCGGAGGAACAGGTGTGACCCTGGCACCAGCCCGCCTGCAGGAGCTGCGCGAGCTACCGCTACGGTCGGTGCTTCTGTCGGTAGGACGTGAGCCAGGGGCCTTATTTTCTAAGCTCCAAGAGAAGCATGCGACTTCTTTATTTTTCCTCGCTTGAGAAGAACTTTCTCCCTGCCCAACTGATGCCAGCTCTCGGGCAATTTCTTCAAGTCCTGGCCTACAGACGCATAGAACACCACGAGAGCTCCCTTGTTGAGTGTGACTGTGTCCGTCTGTCTGTCTCTGTGTCTGTCTGTCTGTCTCCCCTTCTGTCTCTCTGTCTCTCTGTGTGTGATTCTGTCTCTGTAACTCTGTCTGTCTCTCTCTGTGTGACTCTGTCTCTCTGTCTTTCTCTTTGCCTCTCTGTGTCTGGGTCTGTTTCTTTGTGTCTGTCTCTGTCTGTCTGTCTCCCCCTCTGTCTGTCTCTGTCTCTCTATGTCTGTCTGTGTCTGTGTCTGTCTCTCTGTCTGTCTCTGTCTCTCTATGTCTGTCTGTGTCTGTGTCTGTCTCTCTGTCTCCTCCTCTGTCTCTGACTGCCCATGTCTCTCTCTGTGTGACTCTGTCTCTGTGACTCTGTCTGTGTGTCTGTCTGCCTCTTTGTGTCTCTTTCTTTCTCTGTTCATTGGTGTCATGATCTCAGGTATCATACAGCACATTTACACACTATACACAGTCACACATTTACACACATACACAGTCACACATTTACACACTATACACAGTCACACATTTACACACATAAACAGTCACACATTTACACACATACACATTCACACATTTACATACATACACAGTCACACATTTACACACATAAACAGTCACACATTTACACACTATACACAGTCACATTTACACACATACACAGTCACACATTTACACACATAAACAGTCACACATTTACACACATAAACAGTCACACATTTACACACATACACAGTCACACATTTACACACTATACACAGTCACACATTTACACACATACACAGTCACACATTTACACACATACACAGTCACACATTTACACACATACACAGTCACACATTTACATACATACACAGTCACACATTTACACACTATACACAGCCACACATTTACACACATACACAGTCACACATTTACACACATACACAGTCACACACTATACACAGTCACACATTTACACACATACACAGTCACACATTTACACACATACACAGTCACACATTTACACACTATACACAGTCACACATTTACACACATACACAGTCACACATTTACACACATACACAGTCACACATTTACACACTATACACAGTCACACATTTACACACACACACATTCACACATTTACACACTATACACAGTCACACATTTACACACATACACAGTCACACATTTACACACTATACACAGTCACACATTTACACACTATACACATTCACACATTTACACACATACACAGTCACACATTTACACACACACACAGTCACACATTTACACACTACACACACACATTTACACATATACACAGTCACACATTTACACACATACACAGTCACACATTTACACACATACACTCACACATTTACACACATACACAGTCACACATTTACACACATACACACTCACACATTTACACACTATACACAGTCACACATTTACACACA